CCATTAGTGAGACAGGCAGCTACAACAGCCAACCAGTGTTTGGGTGGTGTGCCCAGCCACAGTGCTGAGTTTTGGAATCGAAAGGTGTCTTTTTCAGCCCTTCTTTCTAGGGCTGGGCTGAGTTTCAGATTTGAAGGGAGAAAGGTGATTCAGAGCACGTACAAGTGCACACTTATAGCACCTATCAAAAATCACTTCAAATTGTTGTGTTGTTTCCTGGGCTCACAAAATTGTCTTGGGTAGTTTCCGCATGATCCTTGGAAACGGTGCATAATTTAAGGTATTCTCAACACGTAGCAAGCGTACGTCTTGTTCATGCAAGTCATATTTGTCTGCTTAAATCTTTTTTTCTCCAGCATTAGGAGAAATGACTTCTCAGTTGAATTAGATTTCAGCCCTGCAAAATAATTCTGTGGAATTAGTTTAACCTGTACATAACTGGATTTATTTGTGGCTTAATCGAACCTCCTGGGATAACTTGGCCAGTTCTATTTGTTGTGGGAATTCCCATAACACCTTAACCCTTTGTTGGGCCAGTTAAACAACTTGTGAATGGGCCAAAGAAAACATTGTGTGAAGAACCTTTGTATGATCTAGCACTTTTCCTTCCTGTAGATGAGCCATATCAGAGGACAAGCTGTTCTGCCATATTTTGCATTGCATTTGAATTTTTTAGTTACTCCAGAAATCAAATCAAATTGTTGCATCTCGTCATGAGTTATGCTCCATGGTAGTCTTTCCCGACCCCAGCAACTGTAAGATATGTGGACTCCTACCTTCAAAATGACGTTATAGAGCCCTGCACACCAGAACAACTAGACAAAAGGACAGTTTTTTCCCCGAAAGTCATCACTCTGCTAAACAAATAATTCCCTCAACACTGTTCAACTGTTACAGTCTGCACTACTATTACTGTTAATCTTCTCATCACTCCTTATCACCCATCCCCTCCTACTTGTGACTGTATGACTGTAGCTTTCTCGCTTGTATCCTTACGATTTATTTTGACTGTTACCTAGTATGATTTGATTGCTTATTGTACCCCATGACTATCATTAAGTGTTGCATGTTATGATTCTTGATTCTTAATTAATGTATCTTTTCTTTATGTATACTGAGAGTATTTACACCAAGACAAATTCCTTGTGTGTCCAATCACACTTGGCCAATAAAGTATTCTATTCTATTCTATTCTATTCTATTCTATTCTGTTCTGTTCTGTTCTGTTCTGTTCTGTTCTACTCTACTCTACTCTACTCTACTCTACTCTACTCTACTCTACTCTACTCTACTGCCCGAATTCCCCAGTCACTATGCTGGCTGAGGAATTCTGCAAGTTGAAGCCCACAAGTTTTAAAGTTGCCAAATTTGGAGACCCCTGATCTAGTAGATCAATGTGTCCTTCTGAGGATTGAGTCAAGTTGCTTAGACTGAGATATCAAACTTGGAATAAACTTGGCTGGAAAGCTGGCAGTTCAGGTTCGAGACCCAAGTGCCACACGACAGGGTGAGCGCCCCTCCTTGCTCCAGCTCTTGAAACCTAGCAGTTCGCAAGCATGCAAATGCAGGTAGATAAATAGGTACCTCTTAGGTGGGAAGGTAACAGCACTCCATGATGTCATGCTGGCTGCAGAAATGTCTTCAGACAGCACTGGTTCAATGGCCTTGAAATGGAGATGAGCACCATCCCCCTAGAGCTGGCAATGATTAGCGGAGTAAAATCCGCTTTTATAATCTCTGCTGATTGTGCCTTATTCAACAAAGGACTCTTCTACCAATTCTGATGTGCTAAATTTAGAGTGTGTATTCTACCACATCTCTGTTCCATTTCCACGTTCATATTTTATTTATTCTACGGTACTGAATTGCTAGATTTCCAGGGATACAATAAGCCAGGAGGAGCTGTGGAGATTTTTGGAAAAGCAACACATTTTTTGTTTATTTTTGGAATGTCAGTCTGGGAAAGGAGGCCTAAAAACTAGTTAATGCATCTCTCAAACTCCCTGAAATTATCACTTTGCATATTACTTTTTTAGCCTGAATAGTTTTAAGCATATTGTAAGAACATTAAAAATATCATTGTAGCTGTGGTAAATATGTGTATTACATGAATGCACTGATGAATACATTTTCTGAATTCATCCTTTTCCATGCATATCCATTTTTTTTTAAGAAAAATGTTTGGTCTTAAAAGGGCCATCTTGTCATTTTGCCACCTCAGTTTGCAAATCGGTTTTCTCGTGTTCACTGCACCTTTAAATCAATTGTTAGAAAAATTGGTGGGTTGTCTCTGCGATCTCCAATTCTTGACCTTTAAAGCTCTAGTGCAGTAATAAAAGGAACGTTGTTTGGCAAAACATAATCAGCGGCTGGGAAAGCAGAGAACATGAAAAAGGAAGCTGATGGAGATTTTTGCAAATTAAAGGGGCCACCACAGTTCCTAAGGTACATGTTAGAAACAACGCATCAGCAGCTCTATATTTAACAATAGGTTAGGCTGTAAAAATGGAATACCTGTTAATATCCCTTTCAATGCAGAGTATAATTTATGTTTCTTGTGACTTGAACACTGAACGCAACTGAAGGAAAATAACATCGCCTGTGTTATTTTTGCCTGTTTGCCATTTGAAGAACAATCCTGCTATGCTTTGTATTTAGAGCTGAATGCAGGAGAGTGTTTTTATGTTTTCTTAGATCCTCCTGGTCTTTCAACTTAAAATTGTTGGATATTTTCAGAACAATCCTTCTGGTTCGTTTTTTAAGAATTGTGAAGGAGTTGACAAGACTGGGGGGAAAAACAAGTCTAAAAGAACTGGAGTTCAGTCCAATTCATATTACAGATAGTCCTCGACTTACAACAGTTCATTCTAGTGTTTGTTCAAAGTTACAGTGGCACTGAAAAGGCTTATGAACATTTTTCACACTGATGATTGTTGCAGCATTGTTATGACGGTTGCAGTGTCCCAGTTTCATGTAACCATCTTTTGCCACATTCTGACAAGAAATGTCAGTTGGGAAGCCAGATTCACTTAACAACTGTATTACTCATTTAACAACCACAGTGATTCACTTAACAAATGTGTCAAGAAAAGTATAAAATGGGGCAAAACTCATTAACAACTTTCTCAGTAACATAAATTGTGGATTCTGTTTTGGTCATAACCTGTATTAACATTTTCTATTTCTATTTTCCTAGAAATAGTCCCCATGGGACTGAGTAGCTTAATCTTAATACGTTAAGGGATAGGCTGTATTGAATTTTGTTTTTTTTCTTATTTGAACATATCAATTAATTCACTAAAACCACAGTCCTTCCCAATTGTTCTGTGGCTTGACTGGCCAGTGTAAATCATGCAGGCTAGCCCAACGGAGTAGAGAACGTATCTAGTATCTACAAAATTCTGGATTACTTTAGCTTTGAGATCAAACTAAGCTACATAATTGGCTTCAGTCCTTTAAACTTGTTGGGCATCGAATTCATCCTTCATCATAATTCATTGTAAGAGAAAAATGTTGGCATGGCTTAACACTTGTCATGTGCCACATGTGTAGAGTTCAAACTAGCTACTTTATTGTTTTATGCCTATGTCACAGGAATTTCCTGAGCTGGCAGCTTTCGCTTAGCAAGGACTAGATAAGGTTCAAAGTCATTTGGAGGGTGTAAGTCTTTGTCCTCTTGTGTTCATGTAACAAGTCCAAGCTAATTCCATGCTTAAGCCCTTGTCTCATTTGGGATGGTTGTTCTCAATGTCACTAGAAAACCAACCTTTTTTTTATTTTAAAAAGTCTTTATTAATCAAATTCTACAATTAAAAACAATTAAAAACATGTTTCCATTCATTTCAGCATGTTTGTAGTGGCATTCACTCATATTGACATATTCTTAAGTCTGTAGAATATTACTAAATATTATTACAATTATTTTACTTTCGATTTATAGCATATTTTCATATATTTATGTAATTATGTACATAATTATACATAGTTATACGTACTTAAACTTAGTCGTACAATATTGTTTCATCTCACCATAACCTTTCATTCATTTCTCTATTTTGTGTCTACCTTGCAACCAATTATACCATAGATTCCACATTTCATCGTACTCTGTCTCTTCTCTCTCCTTCATTTCCATTGAAAGCTTATCCATTTCTGCACACTCTAAAACCTTTTTTATTATCATAATGTCAGAAGGAATACTGTCACATTTCCAATCCTGAGCAAAGGCTATTCTTGCTGCAGTTATTATATGTAATATAATATATTGAAATTTCTTACTAATTTTATTTCTTAATATACCCAATAGGAATGTTTCTGGTCTCAATTCAGTTTCTGTTTTGTAATTTCCTCCAACCAATTCCTAATTTTGAGTCACTAATTTTTAGCTTGGGGGCATGTTCACCACATATGAAAATAGGTTCCTTGTTCATAATTACATTTCTAACGATTTGCCAATCTATTAGGGAACATCTTAGCCAATCTTGCTGGGGGTAAAAGCCAATGGTAGAACATTTTATATAAGTTTTCCTTGTAATCTACTGATAAGGTTAGTTTATAATTTACTTCCCGTAATTTTTCTCAATCTTCCAAATTAATGCTATAACCAAAATTTTTCGCCCAAATTATCATGGTCTCTTTTATTACTTCTTCCATTCTTAGGAAGAATGGAATTTTACTACTTCTTCTTCCATTCTTACTTTTTAGGAGATAAGTATACATTTTGGTGATAATTTTTTCATCTGTCCCCTGTAATATTTTGTCTAATTCCTGCTGATCTTTATGTATTCCAAATTCTTCTATATCTTTCTTATATCTTGTTTGAATTTGTAGATAAGGCCACCAGTCTATTTTTATCCCTTGTTCCTTCAATTCTTGATTGGTTTTCAATTTTCCCTGTTCATCCAATAATTCTTTATATCTCACTATTTTATTTAAATCTAGGACATTAGGATGTACACTAGAAAACCAACCTCATGGGCTGATATTGCTTTTGGTTACAGCTCTGGGTCAACCAAGAAGATGGAGTTGAAGAAGGCACGAGCGAAGTACAGAATGGACACTTGGATCCAAATGCTGCTGACTGCCTCTGTCTCGGGAGAACCCTCCAGAACCGAGACCAGATGAGAGCCAATGTCATTAATGAAATCATGAGCACAGAACGCCACTATATCAAACATCTGAAGGACATTTGTGAGGTAAGCCAGCCTCTTCCTGAATATTTTGTTTAAGATTCAAGTCTTGGGTGGAGATGGATTAGGGGATCAGATGGACTAATTTTATCTCTTCGTCTAACTTTGAAATTCTTTGGGCCAATATTTATGGAATCTTTGTGATATCTACCTTATCTCAGAAGGCCAACCGAGCCACAGATAATTTTGGGGCATAATGCATAATCATTGATTTGCAGTGATTCATGGAAGTGAGTGTATGATGTGGAATGAGCCATCTTAACAGAATAACAGAGCTGGAAGGGACCTTGAAGGTCTTCTAGTCCAACACCCTGCTCAAGCAGGAGATCCTATACCATTTTTGACAAGTGTCCAGTCTCTTCTTAAAAGCCTCAACTGATGAAGCACCCACGATTTCTGACGGCAAGCTGTTTCACTGGTTAATTTTTCTCACTGTCAGAAAATTTCTCCTTAGTTCTAGATTGGCTCTCTTTGTTCAGTTTCCATCCATTGTTTCTTGTCTTGCCTTCTGGTCCTTTGAAAATAGGTTGACTCTTTTTTCTCTGTGACAGCCCCTCAAATATTGGAATATTGGAATCTTCCGTGTTCTCTCGGTAGAAAAGTGGAATGATGATGATGATGATGATGATGATGATGGTAACTCCCTTTTTGATGAGCAGTAGATGAGAAGGTTCTCTTAAAGAGTGTTCAAAAAAGAGCAACACTCTAGCACCGAAACAAGCAAATTTCTCTGCTCTAATGCACACCCCGAGGGCAGAATCCAGGGAGATCTGATTATTTGCTCAAAGTGACTGGCATCTGAGTCAATTCCAGGTCAACTCCACCATGTTTCATAAGTGAATGCTTCCAATCCTGGCCTATGGGTAGTCCTCAACTTGCAACTGTTTGTTTAGTGACTTCAAACAGTCGCTAAACTAACTGCAGGCTCAAATATGGAAGTTAAGGGATTCACCTGCCCTTTAGGACCTGAGAGGACTAAATGAATGGAAGTGGTGCAGTGTGTGGGGTCTTAGTGTTCTCTGAGCTGGGTGGTTTTCTTGCAGATGTTTTGTTCTCCAAACTAAGTAACATCAGCACCACTCGCATTGATGATGTTACCTAATTGGGCCATGAAACATCTGCAAGAAGACCACCCAGCTCAGAGAGCAACAAGGACCCCTCATTTCAACCCTGACCTACAAATATACTGCAGCAGTCATATTGTAAGTGTGAGGACCGATCATAAATCATGCTCCTCACACTTACGATATGATTGTTGCAGCATCCCCACAGTCATGTGATCAAAATTCAGCATTTGGCCACTGGCTTGTATTTAAAATGTTTGCAGTATCTGCCTCTCAGGGTCATTTGGTTGCCATTTGCAATCTTTGCACCACAGGACTACCTGTAGTTCTTTCTGCCATTGTTGATTGGGAAACATATTGTATTGATAAAGGAGAATATTTGTAGCTCAGGGTTGATATGATGCGCTTTGGTGCTCTCTGAGTTTGGTGGTTTTCTGGAAGACATTTTATGACCCAACTAGCTAACGTCATCAGGGCTAGCATTGATGGTGTTACTTAGTTGGGGGAATGAAATGTCTGCTAGAAAACCGCCCAGCTCAGAGAGCACCAAGGAGCCCACCTATTGTACCATCTCCATCCATTTAGTCACCCCAGGTCCTAAAGGCAGGTGAATCCCTTAAATTCCATATTTGAGCCTCTGGTTGGTTTTAGGTTGTATGGCATCCATTCAGTGGTTCTCCAGAAATTTCCATGCATAAATGGCAGTGGCAGCCTCTAAGAAGTTGTGTCCCTGCTTCTTGAGTGACACTGCAATCTGCAGAAGGGAAACAGTCTTCTTTTTCTTTGTTAAGGTATCCACACTCTCCTCCCTTCTGCTCAACCTCAACAAACTGCAGCCTTTAGAAAACCACCCAAGTGAAAGATTGCAACTACTGTGTGCCTCCAGCTAGCTTTAATATTAACAACCTTGTTTCCGGCTTCTGAGAACTGTTAGCATGTATGCTGCTCTCCCTAACTCAGATGGAACATTCTTCCAAATTGGTTCTTTTCAACTAGACAGAAAAAAATAAATTGCATGGTAAAGTCGAATGTCCCTGGTGTGTGTGTGTCTGTGTGTCTGTGTGTTAATTGGATTGTTTCTATGAAGAAACAGAATAAATTTAATTGTGTTTGAATTGGAGAGATCCATCTATTTGCCTTACAGGAGAAATAGCACATTTTATAAATGTCCTCATTTCTCCTTCTCATAATTTTAATGCTGGTATAAAGAGGGAAAGCTGGAACCAGGGATGCTGCCTACTGCTAAGCATCTCCTGGGTCAAATTTGCTGGGAGGCTGATGGGTTTTTTTTTTGCTGGAATTGCTCCAGTTTATGGTGACTCAACTCACTCTATTAAGGCAGGTGGCTATTGCCTAACCTCGTCTGCTGCTCTTTATTACCCCAAATGGAACTGAATGAGCAATCTTCCCCAAAGGTGGAGAAGCAAGAACCTTTCTAGTGTCTTCTTAAACAGAACAGATTGCAACGAACATTCCCATTTGCAAAATGACAGCCCAGGCACAGCTTCAGGAAAGCTCATTTTGCCCAAATTAAGTGGACAAAACCAGAGCGTTGGGGCGGCATTGGAGAAGGCTGGAAAAGACAACAGAAACCCTTCAGGTGCCAGCCAATTGCATTGAGGCTTGTCCAGAGTCCAGTGAAATCTGAGGGTGTTAGGATTCTAGTCTAGTCTTCTCCATAGTCCATATATTCTGTCCTGACTTGTCCTGGGTATCTATGCTACCCTACTCTATCCTATCCTATCCTATCCAAACTGCAATAATCCCCCTCCCCAGTAATAACAATCAAGCTAATCACTTGAGGGGCTCCAATTCACCCTGGGGTCCCTAGACTCATTGGTCAAACCATGTCTTTAGGGTCTTTTGAAAGAGTGTCAGCGTAGTGGCCAATCTTGTCACTGGGAGCCACTGCAGAGATAGAACGTTCTTCTTGGTCCCATTAGATGGACCTCCATAAAAGAGGGAAGCTCTAACATCCACCGCCTCCCCGTTCTGGTGGTTTAAATATAAATGGGGAAAAAAATAATAACCTGGCCATCATGACAACCTTGAACCTTTGGCCCTTGAACTGGGCCAAAAGCAATTTGGGACTCAGTGCAGTTCCCATGAGAGATGTGCCTCACGTGCAAATCTGGACTTGCACTAAAGCAAGCAGGTTACCACATCTTGAACCAACTGAAACTTCTGGATACTTTTCAAGGGAAGATCCATGTAGAGCACATTGCAGTAGTCGATGATTAGACCCAGAGTGCAGGAAAAATAGGAGGAGGAGAAAATCCATGCCATCCCCTCAAACTGTCCCCAAAGACCAATATATGAAGATTCGTTACCTGGAGAGACAAGTTCCCTGTGACTCTATAGACACATAGAAACAGAGCAGGTGCTTCCCCAGTGCCTGTACTACAGAGACATTCACTCTAGCTTCATCTCACCGTTATTGCACAAAAAAACCCAGAGTGCCCAGGGCCATTTTATACCATCCTGCTGTTCTCAGATACCTACCCTGCTAGGTGTTTCCAGATTCTGCATAGCAGCATCCATAATTGAGCAGACAAAGACGGGTGCCATAAACTAGACTTGATGAGCACCTAGTTTGCCATGTTAGAGTATTCTGTAATTTGATAGATATAGTTTTCCATAATACTAAACCTTTATGCTCCCTACACCCTTCTCATCTCTGACTCCTTTTAGATTCTTACACATGTGTGTGTGTGTGTGTGTGTGTGTGTCAATCTTTTCTTTACCGTGGACCCCCTTTAAATACCCTTTATGGCTGGATGGTGATGGACTCCCAAGACTTAACTCAAGTTTTAAATCCCCCCCCAATGCCATCAGTCTGCTAAACACCTAATTTCCCCAGCACTGTCTTACGCCTAAATATACTCACCCATGGAATAGGGTGTCCTTGACTTATGAACCCAAGTGAGCCCAGAATTTCTGTTGCTAAGTGAGAAATTTGTTAAGTGAGCTTTGTCCCACTTTACAACTTTTTTGCCACAATTTTTAAGTGGCTCATTGCAGTTGTTAAGTTAGTAACACGGTTGTTAAGTGAATCTAGCTTCCCCATTGCGTTTGCTTTTCAAAAGGTTGCAAAAGGGAGTCACATGACCCAGGGACACTGCAACCGTCATAAATATGAACCATTTGTCAAGCACTGAATGTAAATCACATGACCATGGGGATGCTACAATGGTCATAAGTGTGAAAAATGGTCATAAGTCACTTTTGTCAGGGCAGTTGTAATTTCGGCCACTAAACAAACTGTTGTAAGTTGAGTGTTGCCTGTGTTGCTATTATCCTTCTCACCTTCTCATCTTTCCTACTATCTTATGATTTATCACTTTTCAATTTTATCTTATGATTAATGATTGTAACTATGATTTATGATCTATGACCTATCACTTTGTTGTTTGATATGTACAGTGAAACAAATTCATTGCACCGGAAACAAATTCATTGTGTGTAAAGAATTCTACCCATAAATCTGTGGAGCCCAGGTTAAGAATCACTGTTTTACATCCCTTCCTGCCTGGATAACTAAGTAACCAATTCAACTGGAGTTAGCAAAGTCAGTGGACAAAATCAATACTCTGTAGTCTGTAATGTGTCCTGGATCAAATCCAAGAATTCTCCCGAACAGAGCCTGTAAAATTGGGCCCCAAAGGTTACTACAAATGGATCAAAGGAGTCCAAACCACAAGGCAGACCACAAAGTACAAACCCAATTCAGGAACACAATAGCACAGCAAAAGAAAAAAAAAAGATGTGAAAAATTACAGAACATAAATAGAGCTGGATCAGAGGACATTGTCATTTCCAGGAATCTGAGTCTTGACTAGAAATGCTTTATAATTAGAATTCATAATTCCTTATTCAGACTTTGTCTGAATTCAGAGAAATGAATCTATTATGGGACTGTCTGGGTACAGAGATGTTATTCTGAACATCGTTATATTCTAAAGGACTGGGTCAGTTGCAGGTACAAGTTGGCAAAGTGGTCTTGAATCCTATTCTTGCCTCTTTGAGATTTCTGGTTGAATTAGCTGGATGGGATGACCATGCTTTAAATTAAGTGTCTAGGGCATCCCTTGGATTTTCCACAATGCTCAGACATTGTAGGAAATTAATGTGATCCAGTTGCTTCTCAGCGTGGGACAGCAGCCAAGGGTTAGTTTCAGAAACGGAGCTAGCATGGAGCCGTCATTCACAGCTTCTCAAATATGTCCAAGATGTCTTTTTTCTCCTTGGGGAAAAAAAGAGCCAATGACCCATGGATATTTGATTCAGGTATTAGTTTGAAGGAAATTTGATTGCACCTTCTAATTAATCTCGTAGTCAGAAGAAATCAGTTCAATCATTTGGATTGGTCCTGGATGTTCACAAAATTCCAAAGTTCCAAGTTGAAAAACCATTTAAAATAGAAAGGAATGGACATTTCAGTTTTTTTAAAAAAAATGCTGGAATTGGGATGATTTGTACATAACAAATCGAAAGGCAATACCGGTAATAATAATAATAAAAATATATTAACTTGTATGCTGCTGCTTCTTTTATACACGGATTATGAAATTCTCCCCCCAAAGAGTATTATTTCAAACAAAAATTAAATTTGAGAATGTTATCAAGATTAAGAATGATTACTCTGACATATAGATGTCATCTTTGACCACATTTCTCCAAATATTCTCCACAATTTGAAGGAAGGAAGGGCCAGTTGACCTCTTCAAAATACAGCAGAAGGATGCTAGTTGAAAGCATTGGGGAATATACAAAAATGAAACCCATATTTCTTGGCATTGCCACTAACAGCAACTAGAGAGAAGAGGACCACACTGAAAAAGAATGCTGATGGTGGGCCTCATCCTAGAGACGTCCCTGATCTTCTGGAGAAGTAGAAACATGGAATGGACAATCTTCCTTTACTCTTCAACCCATAGATAGGATGGAAAATTATTTCAGTTCAGCTCTTGTAGCAAAACCTTTGGATTCTCCAAGAGACCTCTCTTCCATAACAATTATAGGTGGTCTGTCCGTTTCTTCCCTTACCAAATCTTCCAAAATAGGAATGGTTGACAAACGGTTATAGGTACTGCATCACAATTCCCAAATTTGTGTATCTAAGGCTCTAAAAGTTGGCACAATCTCCTGGAAAAAAACGTTGCTCCAAAGTTAGTCCAGAGGGACTACATGGAAAAGTACTGTAAAAGGTCAGCCTATTGCTTAGCAAAGTCCTATCTGGTATGAGAGGCCCATCATTTTTTTTGCTTGTTAACAAAACAAGGAGTGGATAGAGGACTTTCCCCAGTATAAAAGCTATACTATTATGAGCTGTTCATTTAGAATTGTTCCATGGATAGCTGTGCCATTTTTCTTTCACCAGGATCAGGAACTGAGGCATGTTGCTGGAGGTGGTTGGTGGATTAAGATAAGACTCCACTTCCCCTGTGCGTATCTTGCTCCCTTCCTCCCCATCTTTTAAATTATTACTGCTATTAGGAATATTTATTCATGGTTTTATTGGCTTTTAATAGTTATAAGCCATCCAGAGTCCCCTCAAAGCAAGATGATCAGCAAACACATTTTATTATCCTCATCATCTTTTCTTGTGATGTTCTAAATTAAATTTGTATCTCATCTTCTGGGTTTGCACAGTGCATGAACTAGGAAGGAACCAAATGGAACCAATTCAGAGTAGGTTTCATATGATGGCTTATGTCATTTCAGCACGGTGCATCACAATGCAAAGGTGATGCAATTATCTCAGTTAAACCAAGACAGCAAGGTGATTTCCCTCAATGAACGTTCTGCACTGCATTGGAACCTCTTTCCAAGACTGGGTTTGTTTAACAAAGAGAAGGACTAGGTGGAACATGAACATCCAGGACTAGATGGAACATCCAGTTTGCAAGGGGCTGCCACAAAGAAGAGGGGGTCAACTTATTCTCCAAAGCACATGAAAGCAAGATAAGAAGTAATAGTAACCTTACCAACCTAGGAATTTAGGAGGGATTTCCTGACAATTAGAACAGTTAACCAGTGGAACAACATGCCTTCAGAAGTTGTGGATGTTCCATCCCTGGATGTTTCCAACAAGAGATTGGACAGCCATTTGTCTGGAATGGTGAAGGGTCTCCAGCTTGAGTAGGGGGTTGCACTAGAAGACCTCCAAGGTCAGGAACTGTCCACAAGTATCGAAGAGTGACATTGTGCCAAATTTAGTTTGTTGTTGAAACACACCACTACTTTTTAAATGGATCCGTTTAAGTATGTTTTGTGAATCCAGCAGTGAATAACATTTTGATAGTCTCTGCCACTTTCCAGGCATGTGTACCTCAAGCTTCAGAGAAGATCAGGGGCTCTTCAAAGGAAGGGTTAGCAACTAGTAGGTGTAGAGTTGGAATATCTGGCTCTGCCAAGCTTCTTAAGCATTTGATGGGCTCCCAGCAGGTGCTGAGAGAGCAGTTTTTCTGTTGGGAGAAATCCAGGCATTGACTGTTTTTTTTCAAATAATAGGCAGTGCTGGGGGGGGGTTACATACAGTGCACATTCCCCTTCTTTTCAAAAAATAAACTACATAAGGGCTAATTAGTTACAGGTACTCAGTTATGCTCACGGACAAGCAAAATAAAAGGATAAATTGAATAGGTATGTTGAAATAGTATACAGTTAAAAATAGTATGACATAATTTAATAAAGAAGTGAATATAAAGGGGAAAACAAAATGTTACAATGTCATCCGTCAAAGATTAGGATGCATTATGCTAAAGGTAATCACTGCAGATAGAAACTTAGCAGCAGCTCTTCTGGTGAGCTTAGGCGTCTGATCTGTGAGTAAAAAAAAACTTGAGGAGATTAGGAGATAGTAACAGTATTCCTTAAGGTACCTTGGCATAAAACAGGCAACAGCAAAATATATCAGATGGTCTCGGGTTCATCACCAGGAGAGCATCTCTCAATAAAGGGGCTACCATTGAATCTTCTCTCTGGCACTGCTGAGGGTAAGATGTTGCAACAAATCAAAGAAAAGGTTGGACTGCCGGTTGGGTCAAGAAGGCCGAATCAATCGCTTGTGGGTTTAAAAGGTTCCACACTGGAGCCCACCACTGAGAGAGAGCTGAGTAGAGCACCCAAAACCACCTGCCCTGCAGTGGCAAAACTGGTAGATGGAGTTGGGCTTGAGATGAATATAAACCTAGGGACAGCAGAGAGAGGTGCAGGTCAGCTGAGATTGTGTGTGAATGTTTCCCTTACCCTCCTCCTTATCCATCCATCCATCCATCCATTGAGCACCAAAGGGACATTTTGCCAAATCTTGCTGTGCACAGTCTCCACAAGTCCCCTCCCCAAGGATCTTCCAGACCTTTCTTCTACCAGAACGCCAATTCTGACCCTTCCCCTTTGGTCCACAACCTACCTAGCTTGGTTCCCTGAAGAGCCCATTCTCCAGATGAACCCTGGATCATAAAGTAACTAATTGTGCTGGATTTGTGCAACAAAGTCCAATGCAAAGAAGAAAAAAACCTGAATCTAACCAAGCTCGGCATGTTCCGTAGCTGGAACCACTGGATTTTTGACTGACTTCTAAACACAGTCTGTGAACTAGACAGCGGTTCTTTGGGCTCCCAACTATGCCAAAGGATTGACCTTGATTCTTTATCAAACCATCTTGGAGGGGTCAAAATACTGATTACACTGTGGATTGAATTCTACTTCAGTACTAATCTTGGGGTAATATTGTTTTGGTATCCAGTCTTAGGGGATTAGGGGAAGAGACAGCTTCTTTGTGATGGGATCCTTGACTTATAAACCTGGTCTCTTTTTGTATCTTCCTCCAGGGTTATTTAAAGCAGTGTCGGAAGAGAAGAGACATGTTCAGTGATGAGCAGCTGAAGATCATATTTGGCAACATTGAAGACATCTACAGGTTTCAGATGGGCTTTGTAAGGGACTTGGAGAAGCAGTACAACAATGAGGACCCTCATCTCAGTGAAATAGGACCGTGTTTTCTAGAGCACGTAAGTTTTTCAGAGAGAAAGACACTGAATGGGAGCCATCTTCAGTTTAGCTTGATTATCTTTGCAGAGTTGGGCTGCTAGGCATGTTCTTCATGTTCCATAGGAGACAATTTCTACACAGCATTGACTAGATTGCTCCTTGTGGTTTCCATAACCATAATTTGCGGAAGGAATCATAATAAGTTGAAGGTTCACAGTAAGCCAGGGGTGTCACTGAGGACTGTATCACAGGGTTGTGTTTGAACTTGTGTGTGTGTGTGTGTGTGTGGCCAGGATATGCATAGCCAGCTTGATGTCACTCATGTCGGGGGCGCCCGTGGTGGCCCAAGCACTCTGCTAGCAGAAACGGAGCTTGGTGGTCCTGCCTCCTGCAACCCTTTGCCAGCAAAAACAGAGCTGGCCGAGGCACCACTGGGCCCATTCTTCACTGTTTCCAGGGCAGCCCTGCAGCCATATCTAAGCACCCCATGGGCTGGATCAGCCCACAGGCCTTGAGTTTGACACCCCTGCAATGGGCTTCCCCTGAAGTTCACAGCGGCTTAATCATCTGGGCCTGTCCCTGATTTAGTTTGCTTCAGTGAGGTGGGGCTGCATTGTCAAACACCAGATATCGTTCCCATAAGACCTGAGTTTTTGTTTGCGAAGGATGGATGCAGAGTGTGAATAATGAATGCTGACCACAGAAAGTGAACTAATGAAGAATAACATCATCTGTCCATTCCTAAAATCCGAAAATCCTGTGTTCTGATTACTTGCTAGGAAGCTGCTTCTGCAGTGCACCAAAGTATTCTCCACTTACAGAAGATAGCAGCAGTTCTTATGGCCCCTTTGTTTCTCCTTTTCATCCTCCTGTTTTATGGAAACTACAGTGTAGAGATCCTGCCTAAAAATGTATTGCGGTAAATTAGGGCAACTAACCAAAGAGATTTTAACCAGCAGGGAAAGGGGTTAGCACTGTATCTGGGTACTGTTGTTATTTAAGTGTTTACATCAATTTGCTTGTTGTGTATGTGGATGAATTGAATTGCCTTCCACCCAATAAGTATTTTTCAGTGTTGCTATCAATGGTTCATTCTGCTTTTTGCAAACCTCCATTTAGCTCAGGCACACTCTTTCATCTTGACTGGGGGATTCTGGGAGCTGAAGTCCAGACTTCTTAGAATTTGCAAGGTTGGGAAACAAGGCACCAGGCTAGAAACCAGAAGACCGAAATAACAGAGTTGGAAGGGACCTTGGAGCTCTTCTAGTCCAACCCCTGCTCAGATAGGAGACCCTATACTATTCTGGACATGTAGCTGTCCAGTCTTAAAAGCCTCCAGTGATGGATCCCCCACAACTTCTGAAGGCAAGCCGTTCCACTGGCTTATTATTCTCACTGACAGGAAATTTCCCTTTAGTTCCAGTTTTCTTCTCTCCTTGATTAATTTCTGTCCATTTCTTCTTGTTCTGCTTCCTGGTGCTTTGAAAAATAGGTTGACCCCCTCTTCTTTGTGGCAACCCATCAGATATTAGAACAGTGCTATCAACTCAGCCCTAGTCCTTCTTAGACTAGACATACCAAAATCCTGCAACTGTTTTTTGTACATTTTAGCCTCTATTCCCCTAATCATCCTTGTTGCTCTTCTCTGCACTCTTTCCAGAATCTTTACACCTTTTTTTATAATATGGTGACCAAAACTGGATGCAGTCTTCTAAGTGGGGTTCTCACCTTGCTTTAGATACAAAGCCAGCTAGGTGTAAAGGCTGTGAGAATAGCCTTGAGAGACAGGAGGAAGACAACCGTCAGATAAAATCTGAGAAATGTAATTTGAGAAAGCATCTCTTCTCTCATTCTCTGGAATATAAAGGCAGGGAGGGAAGAGGATTCTGTTATTGTAATACAGTGTTTTTTTCCGTTATGACCCCTTTAAGATGGGTCTTAAGGAATTTTGGGATTTGAAGTCCACTCATTTTAAAGGGGCTGTGGTTTTGAAAAAACACCACTGTAACTTTACAGTAAAAGTAGTACTGTATTTGTATTGATGATTTTGGCTTCCTGGCTTGGGTTACCTTGAAGCACCAAAATAGGGTGACATTGGGTCAGTTATTCTCTCACAGCCCAAGAAGACTACCCAAACCACTTCTCAAAACTGCAAGGATTGATTCAGGCAGTGACCTAGAGGTAAGATGGTCTCAAAAGCATGAAAGAAAACAAAAATATAACCCACGCGTGAGGAACAGGATGTTTTTGCTGACTGAAAAGGCTCTCACGGACTCTTTGCTCTTGCCAGTTCCATAAATACCATTTTACAGGGCTGATGGGATTGTAGATATATCCAGAAATGTCAAGAAAATCATGCAATGTAGCTTTTGCAGCTTCTCCTTTGGGGAGGAGGCAGCTCTAAATTGTTATGTAAGAAAATGCCACTTATCCAGGCGCTGGATCCTTTGAAGCATAACCAAGTTGCTTTCAGTGTCAACTCTACCCGGCTCCCTTTCATACCAGGTAGGCTTTGAAGAATGTTAGAGAAATGCATTGCAATTGCTGATCATTCCTCTACAGGATACCAGTAAAACCCTTCTCAGCATCTTGTGTCATAATGCCTTAACATTACCAATTCAATTCTTTGCTCGCCTTCATTCACAAATTGTCCTTAGCACAACGGGTGTTGAAAAGGCTTTGAAAAGAAGGAAAGGAAATAAACCATAATTGCTACAATCCATCTGGGGTTGTCACAGTTTTGCCCCAAGGAAGGTTCTTGCCACCTAGTTTAACGTCAGCTATCTGTTTTCAAAAGAGGAAGATAAAGGAACAATGGTGGCGCAGTGGTTAGAATGCAATACTGCAGGCTACTTCTCCTGACTTCTGGCTGCCAGCATTTTGGCAGTTCGATTCTGACTGGCTCAGGGTTGACTCAGCCTTCCATCCTTCCAAGGTCTGTAAAATGAGGGCCCAGATTGATTGGGGGTAATTTGCTGACTCTGTTACCTGCTTAGAGAGGGCTGTAAAGCACCGTGAAGTGGTATATAACTCTTAATTGCTATTGCTATAAAGAAATTGTGTTTGTCAATGAGATTGGGAAGAGTTGCATTGTTTTTTGATGGGAGAAACGAGACTGTTAAAGGAATAGTCCATGTTCTGGGCCTCTCCAAGGAATCAGATTCTGACTTAACAGGAGCAATGGGGTGGAATATATCTGGATTCCCAAGAAGGAGGGGTTGCATTCCCGAGGTCCAAGAGATAGTGAAGTTTAGATAGTTTGGATGGCAGAAAGATCATCAAGGTGACTGCTTCCAAGGGATTCTCAGGGTACAGGTTGTCCTTGACCAACGACAATTTGTGTAGTGACCGTTCAAAGTTACAACAGCACTAAAAAAAGTGACTTATAATCAGTTTTCACACTTGTGACTATTGTAGCGTCCCCATGGTCACATGATAAAAGTTCAGACGCTTGACCACTCACTCATATTTCTGACAGTTGGAGTGTCCCAGGGTAATGTGACCGTCTGACAAGCAAAGTCAATGGGGAAGCCACTTTCACTTAACAACCATGTTACTAACTGAATGACTGCAGTGATTGACTTAATAGCTGTGGCAAGAAAAGTTGTAAAATGGGGTAAAATTCACTTTACAACTGTCTCAGTTAGCAACAGAAGTTTTGCAGCATTAATTCAGCATCAGAAAAATAAACACAGATGGCTGATGCTTCATTTAACATCTTTATAAACATAATAAGTAGATTTTACGAACCAGCTGTAGATTTCTCCAACATGGAGCAAACTCAGACAGAAACATGGTGCAAGTTCAAAGCAGAGCTCCAATCTTCAGCAAGCAAGCAAGTTAGTTTCTCTCTCACTTTAGTTCAGCAGGCAAGCAAGAGGAGAAGCAGTTTCATCTTCAATAGACAGACTCAGAGCTTCACAGAGCTTCACAGAGTTGCAGAGCTTAATATGGAGCCACGCCTAGGCTGCTTCTAGTTTCAGTTTCCAAGCAGTCCTCATTGGCTGACTTAGTTGCTATGCCTATTCATTGGCTGACCTTGGTACCAAGCTCTCTTCCAGTTCATGAATATACTCTGACAAAGTTTTGGGCTCAATTGTACTCATAAGTTAAGGATTACCTATATATCTTTAATGATACAAATAATTGTTTTACCAATAAAGGAGAATATTTGTTGCTAAGGGCTGAAATAACGAGTCCTTGGTTTGCCGTGCCCAATTCACCATGGCCAACTTGCTGCAGCCAATTCACCATGGGACGCTTTTTGGGACAACCTCATCTTGGCCAACTCGCCATGGGACAATTTCACCATTCAATTTAATTATTTAAAATCATTTTTAAAAAGTATTTTTTGTCATTCACATTTCATTTTATCCCTTCTTTTCATCCTTTCTTTAATGATCCTATTCTATTCCTTTGATATTAGTGTAACTTTTGACATGGAGGGAGTTTGTTGTGGTGAGTTGTTCTGTAGCGAGTTGACAGTGGTGAGCTGCCCATGGCAAGTTGGCCAGGGTGAATTGGCCTCTGCGAGTTGTCCTAGTGGTGGCTAACCTTTTGGGGCTCCTGGGCCAAAAACTGCATGTGCACCAGCGCGCACACACTCGTGTGCTAGCCCCAGAATGTAATGTGCACCACCCCTCCCCACACCCCCTGTGCATGGATGCGCAATCTCCCCCCGCCACCCCCTTACCTGCACTGCACCTCACAGCTGAATTTTTGGCTGGTTTGACGCCTTTTTCAGCCTCCCAGAGGATTGGAAAAAGCCTCTGCAAGGCTTTTCGGGCCAAATTATAGGCCCGTTTTGTCACATCCTGTAACACTGGAAGTGATGAAACAGGCCTATAATTTGGCCTGAAAAGCCTTGCAGAGACTTTTTCTCAGCCTCTGGGAGGCCGAAAAAGGCCTCAAACCAACCGAAAAATATCAGCTGCAGTGAGGTAAGTTTGCCTGTGGCTCAAGGGCCAGCACAAATGACTCTGCGTGCCACTTGTGACACACGTGCCATAGATTCGCCATC